CCGGGCCCTGCCTCGCCGCGTTGGGGCTCCTGAGGGCCCGTCCCCACAGGCCAGGCCGGGTTGGGGCAGGCAGGGGGCTAGGGATTAGTCTGGGGAAGTTGGGAGGGCCAGGGGCCGGCGCCGAGCACTGGCCTGCTGAGGCTGCACTTGCCCTGTACTCTGGCTTGGCCAAAGCTTTCCCAGCGAGCCTGGCTCTAGAGCAGGAGAGGGCGTTCGAGAGCCCTCGGCCTCCGTCCCCTCCCACGTGAACTCGTGCGACGCGCCTGCTGCGCTAAGCACCCCGCCTGCACCATGATGCGGGACGGGTACCCAGACGGAGGTCGGGCAGCTTAAGCCGTTCCCCTGGCGCTGGCCTGCTCCAACGTCCCCGGCCTCCCAGCCACCTGCCTGAGGTCCCCGGCCCCCCTTGCTCCTCCCGCTGCCCTAAGCGGGGTGAGGGGACAGCGAAGGCCCAGACACCGCCCTGCCTGCTGGGCTCCTGGGGACGTTCCACCGGCTTTGTCCCGCTGGAGTGGCACAGGGGCTCCAGCAGGCCAAGCCTGGCCCAGGGTGGAGCCGGCCCCGAGGGACCCTCTCCTCTCCAGGAAGCAGGCCTGTGCTCACTGGCGCCCTCCAGCCTTTTGGGGTTCAGTCCCCACTGGCTGCACTGCCAGGCCCTGCTCCTCTGGGGCTCACTCCCCGCAGGGCTGGACTCCGGCTCGTGCCCAAGATGCTCACCAGGCGCTTCTGTTGCAAAGGGCCACGCGGCCGCTCTGCGCCCGGCCTGCTCGTCCAGGCCCACTGCGACGCTCCAGCTGGTTCCTGCTCCTGCAGAGCCCGCCCTCACGCTGCTCCCGGCAGCACCCCGCAGGAAACCACCTCCCAGCCCCAGCTGCGGCCCCTTGCCACGGCCTCGGGCTCGTGCCCAAGATGCTCACCAGGCGCTTCTGTTGCAAAGGGCCACGCGGCCGCTCTGCGCCCGGCCTGCTCGTCCAGGCCCACTGCGACGCTCCAGCTGGTTCCTGCTCCTGCAGAGCCCGCCCTCACGCTGCTCCCGGCAGCACCCCGCAGGAAACCACCTCCCAGCCCCAGCTGCGGCCCCTTGCCACGGCCTCGTGGCTCACGGGGGGTGGCTCTGCCAGCAGGCCTGGGAAGTGGTTTCTGGGAGCAAGGAGAACGCTCTGTCCAGCCGGTGTGGGGGGAAGGTCTTCCCAGCCCTGGTGCTTACTGCTCCTGCTTCCCATTCCCCTCCCGCGCCGACAGATCTTCCCTCTCCTGACGCTTTGCTCGGGACAGACACTGAACTTACCTGCTGGCCTGGGCAGAGCTACGTCCCTGGCCCTGGTTTGGAGACTGGGGCCACAGCGGCTTCCCCCGGGGTTAGTCAGTTTGCCATGATCAACACATTCAGCCCCCCCTGGTGCTTACTGCTCCTGCTTCCCATTCCCCTCCCGCGCCGACAGATCTTCCCTCTCCTGACGCTTTGCTCGGGACAGACACTGAACTTACCTGCTGGCCTGGGCAGAGCTACGTCCCTGGCCCTGGTTTGGAGACTGGGGCCACAGCGGCTTCCCCCGGGGTTAGTCAGTTTGCCATGATCAACACATTCAGCCCCCCTA